ATTTTCGGCCCACCTCATCTGCGAAAGGACAACGGCAAGGAAGCTGGCACAGCCCAGCTGTTGTACCATTGCTCAACTAGGAGTGGAAATCACAGAGGACATGCGAGCAACACGGGAGTGGAAAAGCATCGAGAAAGACGCAGCTGCACGCTCACACCTTGCACGTATTGTTATTGGGTGGACACCACTCACCAGACACATATTTCATGCTCACATTTGTGAAATAATTTTTAAGAAAGAGCCGATTTTGCCAGCGCACCACCTTGCCCTTAGAAAGCAGGTCAACTCCATACTCGACAAATAAACGACGTTGTCATGCGCTGACACTAAGCTATACCGCAACGGGTATGATCTCGGTATCTTCAAATGAAGATGCGAAAGAACCTCATCACGGTGGGCAGAGCTCTTATCACCAAAGCCGGTACTCTGGGATCGCCATGTCTAAGAATTCCAAGTGTCTAATAAATGGTTACGGTAGGTGCGAAAAATGTAGTGCTGGAAACTGAACGTGTTACTTAAAGGACCTTGTGGCTTAGTTTGTGAGCTCAAGAATTTTCGCTGCTGCCTCTGTTCCTAGAACGGATTTTTGAAATAGAGTTCTTCTTTGTGCAAATATAAATCCGGAAGACAGTAAAAAAGAGCCAAATTACACTAAAGATTAACCTGTTCTTACTCCTAATACTGAAGTTGATGGTGAAACACTTTGACTGGCTATAAAAAAAGGCCCTGCATTACTAATGAGAGCTTACGGAACCTTACACCACAGAATCATGCGACACAATTTACACATTATACGAATGCAACGCGTCTACGTTGTGAAAAGGAGCAGACACGAAGTGTATACGCCTGTAGTTATTACGCACCGAGGGGAAAGCGGTTTATTCAAAGATTTATAGACTTATGTGCATTTAAACGCTTAACAGCCAAATGCAAACCGTCAGTCAATACAGGAACATTATATTCCATGAGTTGGGCGTGCTCCAGCGTCATTCGAGAAGCACTACGAATCGACAAAACATTGATGCATCTCCAATTCTAACGGCGCTGCCAGTGGACAACCTATGAAGCAATGCGGCTGCAATTACATCGCGTCACAAGCAGAGACGAACGTATTGAGCGTCACGTATTGTGACGTCGTTGAGTTCAGAAGAAGAAGACGGAGAAGGCCATCCTACAAGAGGAGAACCGCGCAGTGTCAACCGCCTATACCAGGAAGACACCAAACAAGCAGACCAGCACGTAGGTATAGGGTAACGTAGGTGTATCGTCGCCAGCTGACCGGTCCTTTTCCGGCCACGGCCTTCGCATGACGTGTCCGTGTGATTGCCCTCGAACTGCTTCACGGTGAACTCTTTCGGGCTCTGTGCACGTGCTTTCGCATTGGCCTGGGTCCCGAGAAACAAGGACCTCGCGTTAGCTTTACACGGGGGATCCCCTTTACGTGATTGCTGCCGAAAGTGCATAAAGCGGCGCACCTGGCTGCCTCCCGTCGTCAGGCGCTTTCATAATGCCTTTATCGCCCGCTTCCTGAACGGCGCGTGAAACACGTAGCTGACCGTGACCGCACGCCACGTTCCGAGATACAATCATCGCCCAACGGCCACGCTTCTTCGAGCCAAGCCGGACGTCCCCTTCGTCTGGAGCAGCCAAGCGACCGTCTCTGTTCTTGGCTCCTCGAATGCACACGTCGTGGTCGCTTCCCTGAGTGCTTCTTTCTTCTTAAAACCCTGCGGCGTTAGATACGTATTCCCATGGTCTCTGCCACAGAGGGTCACTCGTGAGTGGTTCCTGTGGAATGGTTTCGGTCTGCATAAGCCGTCGAACCACTCGGCGTATTTGAGAAGGGAAAGGCCAGAGTGCGGTATGCAGCCAGGCTCAAGAACCGCGGGCGCCACTGGTAGATCGATGACCGCCGTGAGAAAAAGAGGTGGAGGCCAAAGTCCTGAGGTCACAGCGGAGGTCGCTACGTGCCGGCCGCCGAAAAGGTAGCCACCACTCTTGCGCCTCTCCGTCGCGACATCGATATGTTGAGGAGAAAGACATTACAGAAAACAATGGGCCTCATATTCCTAGAAGTGTTCCATGATTGATTATTTATTTCGTTAACACTGTTTTAGTTGTTTTGAACGTGATATCGTTAAAGAGCTCGTTCCGCAGGAATTACGGTGTCGACGCCGGTGGTTGTGAGTGAAAGATTATTTTGTCCATAAACGCAAACTTGAGAAAGATGCAAATAAAAAATCTTCGATTCAAGCGAGAATTGAACCCAGGCGGTCTGCACACAAAGCAGGTGTTCTAGACCTACGCTATATTGTTTGAAACTGATTCAAAAACACGCGCAATATGAATGCCATGTATAGAAGAAGGAGCCTCCACAACGCATGTAATGCTGCATGACAAAAGCGTGGAATCACGCCAGGTGACAAGAAATATGAATTGCGCAACGAGTGGACGTTTTAAAGGCCCGCTCGTTATAAAACGCTCAGTCATATTTGGTCATCATCAGTGACACAACCATCAATAAAGTGAGCGTATGCGAATGTTGCCTTATACGGATACATACTGTTAGTTCCGCTGAATCGCAAAAGGAATAATTATGGTGTGGTGGAACTGTACTAGCGAAATGTATTCCAGAACAGATTGAAATGACCAATTCCAGGAGTACGGTCGTTCTTTTCTTTACGACGTGATTGCGGCATGCACCGAGAAGCGAAGCGAGCTTAGCAGTTGGGAAAGTGATGTACACGAGTCTCGATTACGATATCACATTCGACTCTTCAAGGCGAAGCTCATGCATCCTCCATTTTTTTCATGTCAACTGCAGCCTATTTATTATGCCTATTCTCGCTGTCACTATAGGAGCATTCAATGTCGCATTTAAATGGTCGCCGTGAAATGCCTCTCAGAAACGCCACATAGTAATGCAACTTTAAAATACAACAGAAGTTCAGAGAAACGTGGTAGCTTAAACAGATGGAAAACCCGTGAATACGCTATGTCACTGCAGCCATCGTTTCGACCAGCAGACTTGTCTTCTCCAAGGCTGCCGCTGTTGTTCTAAAAGACTGCCGCAGTTTACGAATATTTAATCACCATAAGAGCGAAGTCACATACACGTAAATGCAATGACGAAGAAACCACAAGTATAGCGCTGCTGCTTGGCCCTTGGAACTGGAGAACACGAAAGTATCACCGATAGCTTGGGGAGTTGGTAAGGGTTTGTGCTTATGAAACGGCGCAACAAAGGGGATGATTAACACAGACGATGAAGAACCGGCGCCTGTCTTCGTGTATTTTTCATCGTCTGTGTTCATTGTCCCTTCGTTGTGCCGTTTCATAACCATGAAGGAAAGCGGAAACAAAGGTTTCAACCTCGCTATACGCTGTAGGACCGCTCAACGCTGATCCAAATAATCTTGTGCTTTGTGCGGCTGCGCTAGTAGCTACGACAGGAAGGAGGCGGCGCTGGAGTTCGACGGCGAATGCATCAAGTTTGACGTAAGCTTTTACAATTAAGCGAGGTACATTTTAGCTTCAAGTCAGCTTACATAAATATATGTGAAACACACGAGATTATATAGAGATAATTCACATCGTTACGCACGGTAACACAAAAGTTCGCTCGTGAAGTGTGGAACACTACAACTCTGAAACGCACAGCCCAGGCAGTGCACATATTTGTAACTGTTCTGTTTTTTCTTCACTATTTTACATCTTCATTGCTTCGCGCAAAGCCACGCTACCGCTACAATGCGCAGATAAGGCCGCTCAACAGAGAGGATAACCGAACAACAAGGAAGTTAATACTTACGTTTTCTATTCTTTGTCTATTATGTATATCATTTTTTTCACTGGTGGAGGCGCGCAGTGAAATTTCCATACGGTAAAACTCCGCAGCAGTTCTCCGACACTTCCGTATCAACAAACCCACACGCTTTGAAAAGTGCATTGTTTGTTACTTTATTTTTATTATTTTAAGATAAAGTTTTGCCCACACAAACGTGTCTGTCTGTCCACTTCCCCACCACGACGAGAGCTTTCGTTGGTGCACGGAAATCGCCTTCAACTGCAAGAGCCTGGGCTTACGTGCAACTTAAAAGACATGTTCACGGGTAAGCACAGGTGCCAGAGACAACGTGGAAGATGAACGCGCCTTCGTATGCGCATGTCGGTGCAGAGTACATAAAAAACTTCCTACCTTCTCATTTCTCAGTCTCATTTCACCCTAATCACACCTGCTGTGGTAGCTCAGCCGCGTGTCACGCTGCTTAACTCAAGTTTGGCTCTCGGCCATGGTGGCCGCATTTCAATGAAGGCGAAATGAGCGCCCGTGGTCTTAATATTTAGTTGCATGCTATAGACGGAGAAGAAATCAATCTGAAGTCCATCTCTGCGACGTAAAGTCGTTTTGGTAGTCAGGCCCCAGCAATTATTATTATTATTATTATTATTATTATTATTATTATTATTATTATTATTATTATTATTATTATTATTATTATTATTATTATTATTATTATTATTATTATCCTTACCAACAGTGCCGCATAGTCAACTGCAATCAGCCTGGCTAACCTCCCTGCCTTTCTCTTACGTTTCCCTGTCTATGTATGTGAGCGTTTCGACAAACATTCTTCGGAATACTGCCTTTAATATAAACTCACTGTCTTATGAGGATCAAGCTAATAGGAATTTGCTGGAGATCTGAGAACATCGCAGTCTTTAGAGGCGGGCGGGCGGAGTGGTCCTCATTGAACCACGGACGATCGAGTTATGGCTATATCGCGTTCAGCCTCGCGAGTCTTTAATGTACATTTGTCCACTGGATACGGAAGTGTTGCCTATAGCCGTGGCACATAAGTTCTCGTGCAACCTTTTGTTCGTGTCAAGCAAGCTCTACTATATCACTGTATAGTAGAGCTTGTCACTATGTCACACTGCTTGTCACTATGTATATGTATACCTTATTACACATATAACGTTTACCCCTGTTTTTGCAGCCGCTTACCCAGACCTCACCAGCGCGTACTTGCAAGGCGGAGGCGGTGCCACTTCATGGCCTTCGTCTGCGTTTCCAATCAGTCCGGCCGTGTCTTCGGTGGAAGCCCTGGCTGGTTCTGGTTTTCCCGCGCAGCAGCAGCCACTGAGCCCTTCGACGAGTGATGCCCTGCAGGCTGCAGGCCGCGAGCTGCGCAAGGCGCGTCGCAACCGGACCGTGTTCACCGAGGGCCAGCTGATGGGCCTCGAGCGGCGCTTCGACTCGCAGAAGTACCTGTCCACTCCCGACCGTGCCGACCTGGCACGAGTGCTGGGACTGACGCAACTGCAGGTCAAGACCTGGTACCAGAACAGGCGCATGAAGTGGAAGAAACAGGTACGCGCGCTCCCTTCGCCGTTCCGTGAATGCTCGCTCACATCTGCGGTAATTTCGGTGGTCATTTTTCCCGGACGCTATAGAACAACGGAATTCTTTACCCCAACATGTTATTAGTAGTACCGATGTGCAAACTTTTGACAGAGAGAAATTGATGCTTATTTTGGTAATGGTTGAAGTACTGCCCATTCTGTTTTCCTGTGTTTATTGCTTAGTGGTGTTCTGTTTGTACTCATATTGTACTCCCTCCCTGTTATGACCCTCAAGCGAGGGTTGACAGTATTATCAAATAAAAATAAAAAAAATAAATAATATCGTGCGACCAAGTTAACCGCAAAGCAACTTGATGCCAATTGCACAGAGTTTTTATGTGGACACTATAGAGGGAAATCTGACACTCCGTGAGCTGCAGCGCACGGTGCTTCAACCAACCTGACGGGTATAGACACACATTTGTCTAATCTTCGTACTTTCGGCTCCGTTTGGCTTCGCGTGGCTTGGAGCTGCCTTGTCACAAGACGACAAACGTAAAACTTCAGCAGTTGCACTTTACCACCTTAACCTTTTAGACTTACCAATTCAAATCATGCAGGTCACAAAGTTCACAACTGTTCGTTTTTTTTTTCATTCAACGCAAAACCAAAACTCAACAATAAAAAAAGCCTCAAGTGCGCTTGAAGCCCACAAACACGATGATTAGGTAAATCCATATACTAATCATGATTCCCATGGCCGCTGAACGACCGCACGCCAGAGTACCCTCTAGTTAACTTTAGGAAACTATATAGTTAATTGCACCATTCGTTCTCAAACCGAGTACTTTGGCTCAGTCGAGCGAATGCAGTAGCAAACTTCTGAACCAATCATACGCGCAAGAACAGGACGTCGGCTTATTTCGAGGGACAGATGGAAGCAAACGTGAATTCTGTGTGGCGACGGGTATCAGTCGCACGAAGGTGTGAATATCGGAATTTGTGTCGCGCTTTGGTAGCCAGTCACAAATGGCCACGCAACCAGACCGGATTAAATTGGAGCTGTGGGTGAGCCTTAAGAGCCGTACGTTATATACTTCAACAGCTACAATCCGGAAGGACGGCGGATCGGGCTATTCAGTACGTCAGGATGATTGCTATGTAGCGAACTCAAGTTATGGACAAAGAGACTCGAGGACTATAGCGCTAACTTCTAACTGACTGCAAGACTACAGCGTGTACTATAGCGCTAACTTTCAACTTCCATCTGCCTGCAGGCGGATCGACTATAGTCCACAGCGTGTGGCCAACAGCAAAGAAAAACAGTCAATTAACAAGCGAAAAATGATTAGTGTATCATCTGTCTTGTTTGCCTCTTTCCGCCAGATGCACCTTAAATGCGACCACTTTAGTCAATCCGCCGTGGTGAAGCAGCTATGCTTATAGTGCTCAGTTGCAGACCTGAAGGTTGAGGGTTCGATTCCGGCTACAGTGGTCACATTTCGGTGAAGGTAAAACGCTTGATGCCCGTGTACATTGCGGTGCCAGTGCACCTTAAACATCAGATGGTCTAAATTTCCAGAGCCGTCCACTATGGCGTCTCTCATAAGCATATCGTAGTTTTAGGACGTAAAACCCGAGATATTATTATTATTACTTCTTAATTCACAATCATTTCAGTTAATTACGGCGTCAATGGATGCATTGGGGAAGATAGTGCCCTACCCCTCTCGTTGTCTGTTAGTGTTTTGATCATTACAAAAATGTTTTTTTAATAATGTTCGCAAGAATAGTATTCTTGTAGCTCTCTTTTGACATTCCATACGTGGGCGGATGGGATAGTGTCGTTTCGCGAGCAGGCGAATGATCGGGATTGCCGCACAGGCTCGACGTGGGGTGACTGGGTTTTTCCCGAAGCCTGCGATACGGTTGGCCGACGGAAGCCGGACGCGTTTGCAGGGATGTCGATTGGAATGCTCGGAGGAAGTGACCTGAAAGGCAGCAGCAACGGGGGGCTTTTCCTTCGCCACCAGAATCCATGTCAGCGGGGTTCAGTAACACCTAACCAGTGTAGTTCATATGTTCTACCGGCATCTCATTCTTTCCATATTCGCCATTGTTCGCCGGTAAAAAGGCTGAACATAGCTACAAAAGAGAGGTAAAATGAACAAAACGAAATTGAGGGCCCCTTAAGCCTTGCGTTTAAGAGTTGAACACGAAAGCGATATCCTGTCCCTTGTGTGAACCGAGTTCAAGATGGCTTGTGTCGGTGAAACTTTCGCGTACGACTGCATTCTGCGTAATGGGCAGCGTGTTTTAAACCAAGGGCAGTCGTGCGCGTGAAGTCTTTTCGAGCTTGCTATGCACTCACTACGTGGCCCTGAGGGAAAAGGCGCAGTAACGTTTGTTCCTTTTGTAGTGGTGCACCGCTTTCAATCATGAAGTCATGATAATGACATGTTGAATTGAATTGAATTGAAATTTACACGAGCAGGAGCAGAGGCTAAATGCTATACAGCTGAGAATGCCTTTGCTTGTAAATACAGTTCGGAACGCAGGCTACTGAGCATCTTCACATCTAACCGATATATTGCACAAAAATGCAAAAAAACAACAACATTAGAATGTTCTTATTACGCAGTGTGAATTAAACAGAAAAAAACTCATCGCAAAGAAAACAATTCAACAGAAACTTCATTGTTACACGTGAAAATGCATCATGAGACGCCCATGTTGTGATGCCCGATCGCAATGTACGCCTTTACCACAAATTGTAACTGCGATATTACGTGTTGCATTGTGACGCATCTATACAGCACACGTGCAGTTGTAAAGCAAGCAAGTTACTTTCACTGCACTTCCAAGCAGAGGAACTTATTTTCACTGTATTCCCAAGCAGACGCGTCTCTGTGCGTGTGGTAGCTAGAACACCTGCTTGCCACCCAAACGGTCCGGGTTCGATCTCTACTCAGATCCAGAATTGTTTACTGTTTATTTAATTTGCATTTTTCTCGATTTTTTTTTGGTCACGCACACGATAATTCTTCGCTCACAACCAACGATGGCGACGCCGACGCTGGAATTTCAGCGAAACTAGCTCTTTAGCGATATCGCGTTAAAATCATACGTGGCAGGCGCTGACTTCGAATCGAAGGCTTTAGCCTGCCTTTTTGCATAGCGCGGAAATAAAAAAATACAAAGGAAACTTACAGGACGAACTGCTTTGTCTGTCTTAGTTTTTGCGCTATGCTACGAGCCAGTTTACGATAAACCTGCGAGCCCGTATTGGTACCCTTGTCGAAGGTTATAGGTTCGATCCCAACGTAAATATCTCTACAGTTACGTCACCAGTACTATACAACATTTAAAACGTGCCAGTAATGTCCCCTATACATTCCTTAGCTTCACTATTTGTTGGTTTCAAAAGGTTGTGTCTAACAAAAAAAAGGAGCCGTCAATCAGTCCTCCCTCTTTCGTTCATTTATCAAGAAGCGTATACACGTAATATATAGCTCTATAAACCCAGTAAAGTCCCATGGTAAGTAATAGGCTTTAAAGAAAACGTTTTTTTCGTGCTTTAGGACGCATGTGGTCCTTCCGCGGCAGCTGTAGTAGGCCCACAGTTGCTGTAGTTTTGGTGCCCACAAATACCTGCGGCCGAACCTAGAAAGCAATTCGCTTGTTAGTAATGTCTGTATTTAGCTGCCAACCTTTTATAATAACACGTCTGGAACCATAGTCATGCTCACGGGCGCATTTTTCATTGTATCTCTTTCTCTCCTTCTCTGTCCTCTTCCCAGTTCGTATTTCGCTACCCCTGTGCAGGGTATGAAACAGGTTACTGCATGGTACAATGTTAAATTCTCTGAGAGTCTTTTTTTTTATAATAAACATAGTTTTATAAAGCAAGATTTTTATTTTTTCAATTTAATTTTTGGTAAGAAAAGGATATTATCAGCAAGCACGAATAAAGAAATCATGTACCCTTGTTCCGAAAGCAGCGTATAGGCTACATATGTTTTTGGTCATCGAGTGTTTTGACCATATTTCAAAATAAGCAATATGCGCTCATCAAATCGTATACAGTTTTTAATTAACTCCATTCTCGGATGCTCACTTGTACAACTTCAATTGTGTCATAAAAGAAGCATTGAAGGCAACACCAGTATAGGGTTCGCGCGCAGTCACATAAAAAAAATTAACATCAGAGTTTATCTTAAGCATTCGCTATTAAGTCAATATATAGCACACGCTTCGCGCCCCCCTTTCTCCTAAGTGACGGGGGGGGGGGGCGCCTCCGCCCCTCCCGTCCGCAAGCCTATCATGATGACGTTACAAATTTCGGCGATACGTGAAGTGATCGTGGCGTCGCAATACAATCTTAGGTTAATCCTGGGACCATGCTCACATCTGGTATACGATTCGTGTCGTAGTCTTGTATCATGCCATCCAAGATTTCACACTATTCGTCACCTTTCCTGATGAGGGGGTTAAATGGGGGGTTAAGTGTTTATAAATCTCATTGCATCTGCATAACTTCCTTACCATCCAACAGTATGACCTTATTGTGGAGTGATACTAGTCAAGGAAACATTAGTGGCTTGAAAAGCAATGGAGGCCACTCTTCAATGTAATTCAGCATGAACAAACAGGAGCGAGAAATCACGCGTGCTGACATTTCCAGAACATCGTGAGGGCCTGAACTGCGCACCTATGGGACAAAGCCTCTGCATACGCCGACAAGCGCAAGTTCAATAAAATTCGGCTTGTTTCCGCTTGCAAGGCGCGCATCGGCGAATATACCAACAAAAACGTAAAGATGACAAAATAAGAAAAAAGACTTAGCCGTTCCGAGGGTCGAAGGAGAAAAACATGCCTGTAGTTATATCGCCGCGATTGTGAGCATAAAAATAAGCCACAGGGAGTCGATAAACCAAGAACGCACACCCATTTTATGCTTCTCCGAACCATTCCACCTGGATTTAATTTAGTTCGGGTTCGACGTTTTCAGTACATGTGTGTGTGTGT